TGTATTTGTTGTGATGGTAAGGATTTGATTTTGCATCACGTCATAGAGTGGATCATTAGGCATAGTGGCAGACACCAGAGGGTCCAAACTTATTCAATTTTGACTCATGAATAAGATGTTCAAGATATTTTTGAAACACTTGATGGAGAGTACATTTCAATTTGGTTTAGATTACACCCCATAATTAAAGGCGTTCTTGGAGCCTCTGCATTCCAAGGCAGGTTTTTGTTTGTCTCATTATAGTTTTTGTGTTTACTAGTTTTTATATACCACTTCGCATATGAAATTATTCATTTATTTATAAATATATTTGAATCAAATTTATATTAAATAATTAATATTAATCTTGAAAATTATGAATAGTAAGTATAAATAAATTGAGAACTAATAAAAATATAATATAAAAATAAGGGTAAACTATGCAAATGGTCCCTATATTTTCGGTTTGACCGATTTTGGTCACCAATTTAAAAATTAAGAGAGAATAATCTCTAACGTTATCGATCCGTTCGATTTTAGTTCATAACATTATTGATCCATTCGATTTTAGGCCCTCAACCGCTAACTTCTATTCGATTTTAGTCCTTCGGCCATTTTAGGGACTTAAACAAAAGGGACTTAAACAAAAGGGGTTAACGAAAATCAATAGTTGAGGGTCTAAAATTGAATGAATCGATAATGTTATGGACCATTTCTCCTTAATTTTTTAAATTAGTGACCAAAGTCGGTCAGGCCTTAAACATAGGAGACTATCTGCATAGTTTACCCTAAAAATAATTAAAACATGAAATGACATAAAAATAACATGATTAAAAAAAATAACATAAATAATACATGAAGTAGTTTTTCCTAAAAAAACTTATATTAAACCCAATTCAATCTAATTAAAAAAATTTATAACTTCAAAAAAAAACAAAGAAAACTTTATATTAATTTTTAAATAATTTAAAAATGATCAAATTAACTAGATTTTATTTAATTCAATGAATACTTTTCAATAATATTAATTCAATTGAATCTTAAAAATAATTAATTCAATTTTAATTAGTTTAATTCAACCACCTATCTATCAAATTAAAAAGTAAACATCTTGCTTATAATTGATCTATGACTTGAACGATTTGCAATTTGAAAAAAAAAAGTTCAATTTGCACCAATGGTGACAATCAAATTGTAGGGGGTTTTTTTATTCGCTTAAATATACAAAAGGTGCCCAATATATGCCCATTTTCCAGTTCAGTGTGTAACGTTTTTTTTTCGTTCCAGTTGGTGCTAACGTTCCATTCTATAACTCAAAATAGGTCACGCCGTGACGGACCATTAATTTTGGCCGTTAACCCATTAAAAATGTCACGTGGAATATTTTTTAATGTTAACAAATAATTTTGCAAATAAAAAATAAATTAAAATGAAAAATAAACGTTTTAATGGGGGGAAAACCAATTACCCAGGCTCCCCCCCCCCCGATTTTTTTGTGTATGTATCCCTAAAAGGGCAAAGCTCTTCACCCTCCGATCAAGCATCTCCGACCGTCGTGGAGGTGCCCCGTCGCTGCTAACGGCCTTAGCAATGATTGGTGACCCCTGTACATTCCTCTCTTAATCTTAATCTGTAGCAATCCACACCCGCATCTAAAACATATTAAAAAATGAAATTGAAATTAAAAACAACAAAAGAAAAGAGAAATCAAGTAAAAATGTCACCTTTTTTTAGGTTTTTGAAAGGAGATGAAAGGGTTTTAGCTTTGAAACAAAATTACTGCTTCCCTCATTTGCATTTTAAATTCCTTGCACACCTGCAAGTATTTTTTGTGACTAGAATTGTTAGTATATATGCTAAAGAAACCGAAGATGATGGGTGGATGGATTATTAAATATGCATACTGAATCATAGTGCAAAAAAGAATGGAGGAAAAAGGAGAGTGAGCAACATTTCGCCTAATCTTAGATTCTTCTTCTTCTCCTCTTGCATAGTTATTAAGTATGTTTTGTTGTCAGGCCATTTTTCTTCTTGCAAAGTTGACCAGGAGTTGAATCGTGCTCGTTAAAAAAACTTGTTGCTCGACTTGTGCTCGTTAAGCTCGTTGCTCATCTCATTGCTCATCTCATTGCTCGTTAAGTTCACCAAAATTTTTATCTTATTTTCTTAACTATAGGTAAAATCTACCAATACTATATAGAGCTTAATATAAACATAAATTAATAAACTTAACCAAAAAATTATCAAAAGAGTGTATGAAACAAAATGAAAGTATTAACTCCAAAATAATAATCCACAAATATATTAAAATAATAATTAGGGTTTATTTTTTAGTGTAGTAAAATAATACTTATTAATTTATAATTTATACTTTTTATTTTTTATTTTTTATTATAAAATTAATAGATTAGTCATTTGTCATCTTTTTATTATCTATTAGTAAATTAATAATTTTTTTAATGGATTTTTTAAAGATAATTACTAAAATAATATTAAAATAATTAATGAACTGCTCGTGAACTTATTGAGCCAAGTTGGACTTTACTTGGCTTAGCTCGTTAAGGTATTGAGTCGAGCTTGAGTTCGAATCGAGTCAACATGAGTCAAACTTTTACCGAATTTTGACTAAGTCGAGTTTAAGCTGCTCACGAGCTGCTGAACTCATTAAGCACCCCTAGTCCAAGCTATTCTATAAGCCTATTGGGCTCGTTGAATTCCTCTAGGGTTAACACGAAATTACTAACCTATGATTTAAGGCATTACATTTGTCTTGTCCATGCGTCTACTCCAAGAGAACTGAAGACGTATTATGATTAACGTGTCTTCTCCAATAATGACTATACATGCCCGCTAAATTCTCCCTCTCTATCGTCCTAGGCTCATTACCCAGATACTATCCATGCCTGCTAAATTCTCTATCACCCCACTCCTTTTAAACACCGTGTAAAAGATCCCAATTTCATCTCAATATATAAACCTCAAGAAGCTCCTTCCTCCCATCATCAGAACAATAAAAAATTAGCCATTTGCCTTTGAATTCATTCGCTCTGATATAATAACATGTGGCAACGATTTTCAGTTGGACAAAAAGAAAACCCAGATATGGTGATAAAAAATGCATCATATGGAGTTTGAGATCCCAAGGCATTTCATTTTTCCTATAACTCTTGATCTTATGAAGGATCCAATAAACAATATCTTTTGGGATGACTTACGATCGAGAAATGGCTTCAAGATGGGAATTTCACCAGCCCTGTTATGAATCAAGTCTTTACAAATTTCAATCAAACAACCATTCATTTTCTCAGGAAAATGATCAAAGATTGGTGAATGGAGAATCGGAGTAATGCATTGAAAGGATCCCGATGCCGAGAATTCCTGTTAGCTCAATCGAGGTCTTTCAGGTTCTGTTCTGAATTATCAATTTGAAGTGACAATTGGACTGATGTAATTGTCTGGATTCCGTTTATAAAATCAAAAAATGGGGTCTTGAAAGTGAGTGAAAAAGGCTTCGATGTATTCACAATTGACTCATTAGAGAAGAATGCCAATGTGTTGGAGGAAGTATTGTATGTAATGAACTGGATGTTTCCCCTTGCTCGAGAAGCTCAATTATTCCTTGGATCAAAACCTTCTTTGCGTTGCATGGTCTGATTTTTTAAATCAAACGATATTGTAGTGATGCAGAAATCAAATAACATCATGAAAGAGTTTATTTATTGCGACCAGCTATATAGAGAACACTTGGCCGCCATTGATGGAGTTAGTGGAATCATATTCAAGTTCATTAAAGACTATATTTCTGCTTCGGTCACGAAAGCTTCTCTCATGGTGATTTACCACATGGTTTCATCATCAAACAAGAAAACAAAGGTTGAATTTATCGAAATGGATCTCGTTTCCTTACTGTTAAAATCCATAATTGAATTCGAAAAGAGTTACTGCGAGAGGGCTTTAAGTTCTGCGAGACCAAACAAGGGAGGAAAATTGCTTACGATGAAGCTCCGGTAATGGTAATTATCATTAAGAAGATATTGTGTGTTTCAAAACTACAACCAAGTACTCTGTTTTAACCCTATGGAAGCTAAGCAAATATGAAGAAAAGGTGTTGATGGAAGCTCTTCAAGTTGGTCCATTTTCAAAAGCTTTTGTTGCTCATACAAGTTGGGTTGTACAGTGAAACCAAAGAGAAAGCAACTGAGCTTTTAAAATTGTTGAATCCTTGCACATCTGGATTAGAGTGTATTGATTTTATGGATTTCAAGAACATTAAGAGATCTTTTTGATTTTTTTTTTATTGTTAGAAATGATTTATTCTTTGAAACCTGATTTTCTTAAAACAATGGAGGCGTCCAAAAGAGTGGGGGCGACGGAGAATTTAGCTGACAGATATTGTCTTCGAGTAATTAACCTAGGATGATGGAGATGGTAAGGAAAGCTAAATGGTCTAACTCTGTCAAAATTCCTATCTTACATGGTTAAAATAATGCAGATAAAGTGGTTAAAGTGTCACATCAATATTTTATCACTAGTTAATTATAATTAATGATGAATGATCGATTTATTATAAATCAATAATATTAATAATTAATTTGTTAGTTTTTAAACCTCAATCATAAATACGAAAATTTATCCAAACTTTATTGAGTGTTTGTGTCGTTTACCCTTAATTTTTCCACAATATTATCCGGCAAAATTGCGGGTTATATGTTTTTGAGTGATTTAAATTTTAATTGATTATTTTCCAGACTGACCAGTACCAAAACTTAACCCGGAGAAAGGCTAAAGTGACTTAGACCAATGATTATCAGCCACCCGTCCAGAAAAAGAAAACAATGACTTTAATATACAGTGAATGGTAGTTGAACGCAATACGAAACAAACAAAATTATTCCTTCTCTCCGAAAGCCACGTTACCGAACCAAACTCCTCTGCTTACGCAACCACCATCAGGCCCATTAAAAAAGAGTGTCATAAGACGTGGATTCATAAAGCACCACGTAGGTTCCATTTCACCATCCTCAAATCACTGAGTGATTCACCCCCAAAGAAACATTCTAGGAATCGTTAGAGCAAAAACAGTCTCCGCTTTCTTTTTACTTTTCTATTTTCTATGGGCACGGTGGCGCGTGTAATTCACTGCCAACTACTCTCCCATAAACCCGGAGCTAATACTAGGAGGGAACTGGGTGGTAAGGTTCAGATCCCTGTTCAGAAAGTGAAAGTTGGTGAACCTGAGAATGGAAAGATCGTGTTGCAGCCCCGGTTATGTACGTTAAGATCGTACGGTTCCGACCCAGTTGGTGTGATGAAGACGAGAAAGGAAGAACGCGATCAAGTTTCACCCTTTTTCGAGACTTTATCGGAGTATATCGAGAGTTCCAAGAAGAGCCAAGACTTCGAGATCATCTCCGGCCGCCTCGCTATGGTAATTAAACTTGAAACTTTGGTGATCCAATTCCTTCAAGATGTTTTCAATTCCTTAAAGTGGGGGTTTACTTATTTTTTGCAGATTGTGTTTGCTGCAACAGTGGCGACAGAATTCGTGACGGGAACCTCCATATTCAGGAAGATGGATTTGCAAGGGATTGAGGAAGCCGTGGGTGCGTGCCTAGGGGCGATGACTTGTGCGGCGGCTTTTGCTTGGTTGTCCAGTGCTCGTAACAAAGTGGGTCGGATCTTCACCGTCGGCTGTAGCTCGTTTATCGACTCGGTGATCGATCAAATCGTGGACGGATTGTTCTACGAAAGTGATGCCAGTGACTGGTCTGATGATATTTGAAATCAGAAATGGTGATGGTGTTGATGTTTATATATGGGTAGGATCTCCCTTTGAGAGAAATGAAGATATAGTAATTATAATGTGGAGTTCCTGATAAAGAAAACTAAGATGGAGTATTTAAGTTGTGTTGCAGCAGATCTTATAGAATCAAAGGCATATGTAGAATTGTAGATGAAGGAGAATGGGATTGAAGTAATAGTTCATAGTGTCTGCCCATCTCATCTGAGATTATAGATGTTAAGTTGTATAAACATTATATATATGGTAATTAGCTCCTGGAGTAGTAACGCTTAATTTTTTTGTTGTTGTTGTTGTAAATTTTGGATGAATATAAGGTAGTATATTTAAGGATAAACAACGTACCCATTATCTATACCATCAATTTTGATATGTTTTAATATCTAAATTTTTTATTTTTTAAAATTATATATAAAATTTAGTTTTTGTTTTATTTTAGTACTAATGTTTAAAATTTAACATTAAGTTTTAAAAAAATTAAAAGTTTAAGTATTAAAACAGATAAAAAATGATAGTTTAATTGCTAAACGCATTAAGTTTTTAACGGTAGGGTACTAAAATGAAACAAAAATTAATCGTTTGGCATGCTTTTGAAAAACAATTATAAATTTAAGTACTAAAATAGATCAAAATTGATGATTTAGGTACTAAATGTATAATTTACCTTATATAATCTCAATCATATACGGTGCTCGAATGTGAAACCTTAAAAGATATCAATAATCATTTAACTTTTGAGGTAATTTGGTTTAAGATCTTATTTTTTTTCAAATATATATATTTATATTCAGATACGGAACCAATATTTTATATTAGAGGGTGAACTTGAATTTTTAAAATTCTAAGAGACAAATTTGAATTTATAAAATTTTAGGGAGCGAAAATAAATTTTTAATATAAAATACATTAAAAAAAACTCTAAAACATATAATAATTTTAAAATTTTTGCCACAGCTTTATTTTTGAATGCGTTGTATTGCTTTCTACAGTGTTTTTATGTCTGATGGTTGAAGTTCCATTCCACACCGCTTCATTCCAAATCCTGAAATGGTCAAAGCCCAAGCCTGTGAACAAGTTATTATCCTAGCTTGCAACTTGGGATTTCGTAGGGTAATCATCGAAGGAGATGCACTCATCATCATCAACAAGGTACATAGAAAAACTGATTATCGCTCGCCTATCGGTTCTATCATGAAGAATATCCATAGTATGGAAGATCTTTTCATCTCTTTATCTTTCTCCCACGTTGGTCGCGCATGCAATTGTGTTGTCCGTTTGGTAGTCAGAGAGGGTTCAGCTTTCTCAAAATAGATGGTTTGAATCGAGGAAGCTCTTCCCAATGTTGAAGCAGGTGTTCAGAGAGATAGAGATGATGATTGGATCCCAGATTAAGATTTGGGCCTGGAGTTTTGCTAATTTTTAGACTCCGATTGATTTTCTTTTGTATTTGCTGCTCTACTGGGTCTATTATTGCTCGAGTTGTTTTAGAGAGATGACAAAAGTGCTTTGCTGATTTATTTCTCCTTCAGTAAAGGGAGAGTGGTTTTAAGTATTGATTTTTTTCTTTATTTTCGTATCCAATTGTAAATTTTGATGGCTTTTTTTTTTTCTTTAGCTGTTTTGGATTGGTCCTGATTTCAAAGTTACTTATTGTTTTTTTAATAGAAACAACTACAATTAAAAATCAAATAAAACACATCTATCTCCGTTACTTGCATTTGTTATTATTCCATTTTTATGGTAGTTGGGATGGATTGGGTTTGTTTCTTTGGAAAATTTTAGGAAACATTATAATTTCTAATTATAATTTATTAAATAATAAAAAATATTTATGTTACTTTATTATTTCGAATATTAATATTTATTTTGAAATATAATATTTTTATATAATTAAAAGAAAGCTTCTCAAACGTTATTTCTTCCGGGGCTAAATATTTTAATAAAGTGGTGAAATTTTTGATGAAGTGTTATATTAAAATTTAATATCGATTGAAAATTCTACATACCCATTAACAATTTTGGACTATCCGTTATATTTTTTTATATTTAAAAAAAATGTTTCTTTTATACTTTTTAGGGTAAACCACATATTTAGTACCTAAATTATTAGTTTTGATTCGTTTTAGTACCTAAACTTTCAATTTTTTTAAAATCATACCTAACGTTTAGTTTTTATTTCATTTAGTATCTCGTCGTTAAAACCTTAACATGTTACTACCTAAACTATCATTTTTAGTCCGTTTTAATATATAAACTTTCATTTTTTTTAAACTTAACGTTATGGTACACTCTTAGAAGTTTAAGCGTTGAAAATCTTTCGGTAGGCTCTTATCTGACAACAAGGGAATTTTGTTTTCCTCTTATTGAATTTGTGCCCAATATAAACTCCAAATTTTTAAGAATTTTCTCAATGTTCTTAGTCTAATTTAAATCTACTCTCCATATAAGATTAAATTCTATAAAAAGAAAAGCAATCCATCAACCATTATTGACAAAATGAACAATATTGTGATCAAGTCATTTCATTGTTAGAAGAAAAAGATAAGACAACAATAAATCACTTTGTTTAATCACATCCTAGTGATTAAGAAACACAATGCTTGATTAAACATAAAACTTAAAAAATCTACTTCCTTAAGATAATCATTTACCTAGAAATCAAACAATTTGAATATCATTTACCTTTGTTTTTCCGTGTAATACTAACACTTATGGCGCTCGACACGACAGCTTCACGTGCACCCCTCTTATTTATGCCTAAGCATTGCTAAAGCTACCAACTACATTACTTTCACTAATGATTTGGTTTTGGAGCTAAATATAGATGATTGGTCTTAAAATCACTTTTATTTATCCCATCCCCCAATTCACAGATGTTTGCAGGTTTTTATGGTGATTCCTACCCATCCATCGCTTCCTTCCTCCTCATCTCTTTTGTTGAAAAATCAACAAGTGGCCAACTTGACCACTTTCGGTGCAAATGGTTTTGGTGGAAATTGCTTTCGATGCATGCGTCGAAATTGTTGAGAAAAAAAAGGCAGGCACCGAAAATGTTGAAATTAGGTAATGGGAAAATTGCCAATTTAGTCCCTATACTTTAGGGTATTTATAATATTAGTTCTTAAGCTTCCACTATAAATACCTTAACCCATTTAGCTTCAAAACCATCCCAAATGATTCTATCTTTCTCCCAATACTAGAGAATTTAGAGAGTTTTCTTGAGAGTTGTTTTCTCATTTTTATCAAGAGAGAATTGTTATTGTTTTCTCCTTGTTAGATCTAGAGAAGTTGTAATTCCTATTTTCTCATAGTGAAATTCTTCTACCGTTGCCCGTGGTTTTTACCCTATATTGTTTAGGGGGTTTCCACATAAAATTTGTGTTTTCTTTATCTTCATTTTTATTTTCTCAAATTATCAGTTGCGATTTTGCTCTATCTAATAGCCGTATTCCACAACAATTGGTATCAAGAGCCAGATTTGAGTGTGTAATATCTACTTATTGTCTTTGTGGTTGCCACCAAAAGGTGGATCCTCCAATATAAGAAAGTAAGAATGTATTACCCATTCTTTGAAGGTTCCAGAGAACTATTCACGATAGTGAAATAATGGGAGCTATCCGTAATAGAAGCTATGACAACGAAATTTGATATTGAAAAATTCAATGGGAGAAATTTCTCATTGTGGAAATTGAAGATGAAGGCCATCCTAAGGAAATATGGTTGTATAGCAGCTATTAGTGAAAGGTTGATAGATTTCACAGATGACAACAAATGGATCGAAATGGACGGGAATTCTATGGAAAACTTTCATCTAGCTTTAGCAGATGAAGTATTGTCAAGCATCGAGGAGAAGAAGACAGTTAAGGAGATATGAGATCATCTCACCAAATTGTACGAGGCCACATCGTTGCACAATAAAATTTTCCTTAAGAGGAAATTGTACACTCTTCGTATGCCAGAATCTACTTCAGTGACAGAGCACTTAAACACGCTGAACACTTTATTTTCTGAGCTTACATCCTTAAGATGTACAATAGGAGAACAAGAACGTGCTGAACTTTTACTTCAAAGTCTACCTGATTCGTATGATCAACTCATCATCAACTTGATAAACAGTAATATCACCAGTATAGTCTTCGATGATGTTGCAGCTGTTGTTCTACAAGAAGAAAATCGGCGCAAGAATAAGGAAGACAAACAAGTAAATTTGTAACAAGCAGAAGCGTTGACAACGATGAGAGGGAGATTAACAGAACATGGCCAAAGCAGCAGTCACAAACATGGTAGATCAAAGTCGAGAAGCAAGAAGAATTTAAAGTGTTACAACTATAGAAAGAAGGGTCACTTGAAGAAGGATTGTTGGAGTCTAAATAAAAACTCCAATCCACAAGGCAATACCGCAAAGACTTCAGATGATGGAGATGCTCTATGATGTGAAGCGTCAACCACTGTGAAAGGAAGAAAAATATTTGCAGATATATGACTCATTGATTCAGAAGCAACATATTACATGACCTCAAGAAGAGAATGGTTCCATCATTATGAACCTGTCTCAAGAGGATCTGTGTATAGTTGCAATGATCATACCTTAGAGATCGCTGGCGTGGGAACCATCAGATTGAAGATATATGATGAAACAATTAAAGTTGTTCAAAATGTGAGGCACGTAAAAGCCTGAAGAAAAAATTATTATCCTACGAATTGTTTGATAATAATGAAAGCAAGATTGAAACACAGAAAGGAATCATAAAGGTGTTCCGTGGAGCACTTGTAGTGATGAAAGACGAAAAGATAGCAGAAAACTTGTACATGCTGAAGAGAGAGACTTTGCTAGATGCAGAAGCCTCTGTTGCCTCATGTAGTTCATATTATGTAATGCTATGGCATCAGAAATTTGGACACATGTCAGAACAAAGAATGAAAGTCCTTGTGGAGCAAAAGCTACTTCCAAGCTTAACAAAAGTATCTCTTACGTTGTGTGAGCATTACATAACAAGTAAGCAACAATGGTTGAAATTCAACACATCAAATTCTAGAGGCAAAAGTGTTCTTGAATTGGTTCATTCTGACGTATGACAAGCACCAGTTACATCTCTAGGCGGAGCAAAATACTTTTTCTCATTTATTGATGACTACTCTAGGAGATGTTGGATGTACCCTATTAAGAAGAAGTCAGATGTATTTTCAACTTTCAAAAACTTCAAAGCGCGGGTGGAACTTCATTCTAGAAATAAGATCAAGTGTTT